AGGGTTAAATTTGTATTTCTTGAATTTGTAAAATTGGCCTAATTACCAACTTCTGTGCACTTATAGGGTAGTTGTAATATTTGCCTGGGTTGTTTCTTGTGCTCAGTCGACAGAACAGAAGGCACACTAGAGAAATAGCTAAGAACCTGGCCAACTGGAGTATTGGAAATACACTTATTCATAAACTGTGCCCTGACCGCTAGCTTTGCACCAGAATAATTTGAAGATTTTCCACCAAATTTCATACTTTTGATGCAATTACCTGCAGAAAGAGATACTCCTCCATTTCAGATTTTTTTTTTTTTTTTGATTGGACACAGCAATATTAATTTCATGGGTCTAGACAGTGAAAAGGTTAAAAAGCACCTCATTTCTTAACCCTTTGACTGTCGCAACCCCCAAATCCTGAAGTGTCTTCTGGTGTCAAAAAAAAAAAAAAAAAAAATTCTTATGAAATAAGAGAATCTTTTCCTGATGGTAACGACACCAAAAGTGCGAAATTTGATTGAAAACTTACAGAATTACGCTCTTGTGAAGTTAGCGACTTCGGTGATATCTATGAATCAGCGATTTTCCCCACCGAGCCCTATTTTTTGGCAAATTCCATTCTTCCAGTTAACCAAACTCATAGCCATTTCTTCAGAACTCCATTTGTTCTATCGAGTAAAAGAAACTGCCCATTTACCGATTTCAACTGCCCAATAGTGGCCAGAAATTGGCAATTTGGCCAATTTCATGCAAATTAAAAAATATGCCAATTTCAAAATGGGGCCCAGAATGAACACTGCAGACATACCTAGCACTAAAATAATATTCTCTCTGTTTATCAGTCATGTCTCCAGGCCCCTGTTATAATCCTCATGCTTTCTATTTTGAATTTTTATTCACACAAAAAATAGAAGATTTACTGTTATGCAGACTACTGCAATATTGTAATAATTGTATAAATAATGTCAACCCATTCATGACTGTGTATTAGAATGGCTAGTTGGACAGTTATTGGACAATGACATCATTTGTTTACTCTTGAATATGGACAAAAATCGAACATTTCAGCTACTTTGAGCTCCATTTCAAGGTTTTCAAAATCACCTCTATTTCTATAATATGTTTTCCATTCTATCAAATGAGACCAAGAAAACGAGAATACAACCATAAATACTATAAGAAAATACACCTCAAAGTTGGAGTTTTAATCCAAAAACACTGTTGGAGTTTGTTTTTTCTCATTATGCACTGTGTGCTGCAGGATTTTTTTTTTATACTGTGCACACTGACCCATTCTCTCACATATGGGCCTACCAGCTTTCTCCCGCTTGATTTGAAGCCGCTAGAATTTTTAAGTACAGTGGACCCTCATTTTTCCTAAGACTCGAAAGCCCTAATTTTCGGAAATCGTAACTTTTTTTCGTCAAAACATTGACTCGCAAATCGTCATTCGACTCGCAAATAGTCATTCGTCTCGGACGTGTACACACGGCCCCGAGCCGCCTCACACTCCATTCCCAGCCAGTGTACCATTGTTTACCAGTGAGTGACCATCCCCTCACGTGTTCATATGGAATATTTCCTAATACACCTACCATCCGACTTATGACCTGCTCAACTTACGACCGTGTTTTTTATGCCAAATTCCTGGGAAATAAACAACTATTTGTATTGTACACAGTGTTTATCCTAAACCTTACAGTATAAAATACAGTACTAACAACATAAAAAGTAAAGCAAAACATGAAATACCAAAATAAAACAATAAAATAAAGTCAGTACAAAAATGTTTTGTCGATATTCAGTAGTAAAGTTCGACTTATGACCATTTCGACTTACGACTGGTTTCTCGGAACCGAACTCGATCGTAAGTCGGATGGTAGGTGTATTCTATTCATTTTAGTGCTTGCAACTGCTAAATAAGCTACCATCGCTCCAAAGAAAGCTCCTAGTGCCATGCCTTTGGTAAAGAAGGTGAGAAATACGAATGAATTCAAGAAAAACATCATTGAACAATATGAAAGTGGCATGTGTGTGGCAGAACTGGCCAGGATGTATAAGAAACCCCATACAACCATAACTTCCATCGTGGCCAAGAAAAAGGAAATCAAGGAAGCTGTTGTTGCAAAGGGGGCAAAAAATTTGCCTCGGTTCCAGTTACAAAACCCGGTATGCGATACGATTCGTACGAGACGTGTCCACGTGTAGCCTGAACTGCCCCGTGTGTGCCAGTGTTTACAAGCCAGCCAGTGTGCGTGCATCTAAGGATACATTCGTACATTCCATATTATCACTGTTTTTGGTGCTTGTTTCTGCAAAATAAGCTAATAAATAAGGCATGGGTCATGAGGGACATTTTCCTTGATTGGTTCCTGAAGTGTTTGGCCCCAGTGTGAAGAATTACCTCCTGGAAAATAAATTGGAACTCAATGCACCTGCTCATCCTCCAAACTTGGATGACCTAATTCTGGAGGAGTTTGGGTTAATCACAATGAAGTTCTTGCCCCCTAATACCACTTCTTTCCTCCAGCTCATGGACCAGCAGATCATTTCAAACTTGAAAAAACTACACCAAAGCAATGTTTCAAAGGTGCTTTAATGTGACCAGACACTCACTTGACCCTAAGAGAGTTTTGGAAAGATCACTTCAGTATCCTCCATTGCATAAGCCTTATAGGTAAGGCCTGGGAGGGAGTGATTATCAGGACTTTGAACTCTGCTTGGAGAAAACTGTGGCCAGATTGTGTCCACAAGAGGGATTTTGAAGGGTTTGGGGCTGACCGTGCTAAATGACTGTCTACTGTATGCCACATTTTTCCACAACCATGTTTTACTCATCACACTTCATTGTAATGGACAGTGGATCAGTTCCTATCTGTTCTATTCTACTTTCACCTAATTCCATTATTTCTTTTCTAATTTCTGTTTAATTCTTTGTTTAATATTATGTATAAAGCAACAATGGATAGTATGGAAAGCACACTTGCAAAACAGGAATTGTACATCTGAGCATTGAAATTAGCTTAAGTGGGGCCTCCCTGACCTACTTCATTGCTGCACGACTCCATAAGTATTACATCAAATTTTGCATTATTGGTTTTAATACCTTCTGAAGAAGATTCTCTACCATTTCAATTGTTTTTAAAAGTAAAATTAGAAAGCACTAATGTCGCTGACCTGTCTTTCACAGGTCTCCAGGAAGAAACTGAAGAATCAATGTTGCATGTTATCAAAAATATTTTTTTCCCTTTTTCCTTTATTACAGGTAACAGTAATAGAAGTAATTGTCTTTACTGTTACAAGGTACACTAACAAATGATCAAGACCTAGATGATACTATTAAAATACATTACAGAAAGCCCCTGGTTATACAGCATTTCAGGTAGTCTAAGTTAATCATGTAACCCCAGGAAGTGACCCATAACAGTCAACTAACACCCAGGTACCTATTTACAGCTGGGTTAATAGGGGTAGCAGGTTTAAGGAAACATGCCCAATGCTTTATCCATGCCAGGAATCAATCCTGGACACATGGTGCTTGAGCTGAGGACACTACTGTGTCTCATGGCTCACTTGGCAATGCTCCTGCCTCACATGCAGTGTGCGATTCAATCCCCAGCATGGATGGAAACATTGGGCATGTTTCCTTACACCTGCTGTCCCGATTTACCTAGCAGTAAGCAGGTACCTGGGTGCTAGACAAGTGGTGTCAGTTGCATCTGGGGGATAAGACTGAAGGACCACACTGGAAATCAGATAACCAACTCCCATGACGCACTGATTTTCTTGGTTCATCCTGGGTGGCTAACCTGTCAACACATATTAGCCGTGATACCATGGACTTCAAATAAACATGTACCCTCAGACAGACAGGACAAGACTGCAGGCTGGGCTTCCTACTATCTATTCTCAACATACTAGTTTACCATCTCGGTGATCATCATTTACCACCTATATTCCAGTGTGGAGAATAGGTGGCAGGAAGCCCAGCCTGCAGTTGTCCTGTCTGCCTGAGGGGTACATGTCTAACGACTCCCTCACTGCATGCCGTCTAGCAGAGTTTTGAACTCTGTGGACCTGACAGTACTTGAAGTCCGTGGCATCATAGCTAATGTATGTTGACAAACCATCCATATTTAAAAATCCAAACAAATCTTACCTTTCTTAATAACCAAGCCATGAGTGCCCACCCACATATCACTTAACTAACCGCCTGTCTCAAAATAATGAACAGATAGTAACTTAAAACTCTCTGACCAGGGAGAATTTGGTAGAGAATGGCAACCACAATTCATACCCAAGCTAATGAGAATTCCAGAAAGATTCATTTCTATGCATTATCAGTGCTCACATTTGCTATGCATAATCAATATAACCTCTCCTCACTTAGTGACATACTTTTACCGAAGACTCGGGCTCACGACAGGTTCTCTGACCAGTAAGCATACCTAAATACAGCCTCTCCTCACTTAGCGACGTACTTGTTTACCGAAGCCTCAAACTTATGACATGCTCTCTGACCAGTATGCATGCCTAAATAATGTATATTAGAGCTGATTTCCTCTATTATGTTCATTACAATATACAGTACACAACTGTATAAACATTTAAAAATATACCAGAAATGTTATAAATGGTGCAAAGGTGACATTAAAACATCAAAGATAGTCAACACAAATTCACTACCATTATAGTATGCTCCTCACTTAGCGACGAATTTGTTTACCGACGTGGTCTTAGGAACAGAACTCTGTCGTTAAGTGAGGAGAGGCTGTATTTAATAACTTTAGAAAACTTCTGAAATAAATCCTCAAACAAACCCTCAATATATTCCCAAAATTCAATCTCCTCACAAGGGACAACTCTTTATATATAGCTTACTACTACAAGTCACAAACTATTTTCAAGTTGTACAATATCAATCTGGGTGTGCTCTAGTGGTATATCAGGCCTCAATACATTTGAACATGCAGATACAAACACTTAAAAATAACTTTAGTAAGTGTACTTACCCCTGGCTGAATGGAGGGGCCAGGAAAGGAACCACTACCGTAGTTATCGGGATCGTGTTCAGATTTTGACAATTCTGTGCCAAAATCGCCATCCCCCTCATTTACTGAACCACCATCATAGCTATTGTCTCGTCTACTATATCCATCATCTGGATCATCAGCCTCCTCCATTTCAACTTTTACCATGGGAGGAGGATCAACAATCGAGTCATGTACACTGTCTTGCGACTGAGAAACTGGCAAAGAGGAAGTTTGATGTTGCAATGGAGGCGTTCGAGATGGAGGTGTAGTTTTTGATGAGGCTGAAATGGTAGGAGAAACTGGCCTTTGTGATAGGGGTTGAGATGAAGAGTCTTCGTGTCGTCTTCTCTTTGGTGGTGGACTCTCTCTCCTGTCATCAGATTGTCCTTTCCTAAACTTTGTGGGATCTTCGTCAGGTACTGCCAAGCCTTTAATTCTGAGGCATTCGGCCGTCTTCAGTAACGAAGCTAAGTCATTTTGGTTCACATTCACTTCACCTAAGTACATATAATCCAAAAGTGCATCCATGTCCTGACTTCGCACATCTTTGAGCACTATCACAGGAGATTTGCATGGTGTTCTTTCAAAAATTTCACTAAAATATTCACTGCATGTGCTCATAACCAGTTTGTGCACAGGATAGAATTTTCCTTCCACTGCAATAGTGGCATCTGTATAGTTTGCCTGCAACAATAAAAAAAATATTCAGCACAAGGTACTCAGAAAATACAAAAAAAAAAAAACTACACAAGCCCTCTCCCTTACCACAGTATTTTTAAAACTGATTGTCATATATACGTTAAGACTAATTTCTAAGACAGGATTAAATTCAGTAGTTATTAATAATTACTTAATCTGCATTCAAGATACGTATACTAAAGTTCAACCACTATGTAACAGCCAGGAATTCTCAGCACGGAGGGGTAGTGTAGGGGTAGTAGTAGTGGGGGAGAAGTAGAAAGGAAGATGTAGTGGGGGAGAAGTAGAAAGGAAGATGTAGTGAGGAGAAGTAGAAAGGAAGATGTAGTGGGGGAGAAGTAGAAAGGAAGATGTAGTGGGGGAGAAGTAGAAAGGAAGATGTAGTGGGGGAGAAGTAGAAAGGAAGATGTAGTGGGGGAGAAGTAGAAAGGAAGATGTAGTGGGGGAGAAGTAGAAAGGAAGATGTAGTGGGGGAGAAGTAGAAAGGAAGATGTAGTGAAGGAGAAGTAGAAAGGAAGATGTAGTGGGGGAGAAGTAGAAAGGAAGATGTAGTGGGGGAGAAGTAGAAAGGAAGATGTAGTGGGGGAGAAGTAGAAAGGAAGATGTAGTGGGGGAGAAGTAGAAAGGAAGATGTAGTGGGGGAGAAGTAGAAAGGAAGATGTAGTGGGGGAGAAGTAGAAAGGAAGATGTAGTGGGGGAGAAGTAGAAAGGAAGATGTAGTGGGGGAGAAGTAGAAAGGAAGATGTAGTGGGGGAGAAGTAGAAAGGAAGATGTAGTGGGGGAGAAGTAGAAAGGAAGATGTAGTGGGGGAGAAGTAGAAAGGAAGATGTAGTGGGGGAGAAGTAGAAAGGAAGATGTAGTGGGGGAGAAGTAGAACGGAAGATGTAGTGGGGGAGAAGTAGAACGGAAGATGTAGTGGGGGAGAAGTAGAAAGGAAGATGTAGTGGGGGAGAAGTAGAAAGGAAGATGTAGTGGGGGAGAAGTAGAAAGGAAGATGTAGTGGGGGAGAAGTAGAAAGGAAGACGTAGTGGGGGAGAAGTAGAAAGGAAGATGTAGTGGGGAAGAAATGGAGCAGGTGGTGTAATTGGGTGTAGTTGGGGAAGGGTAGAGGCAGAAGGGGTAGGTTATGGACACAGTATGAAATATTAAAAACACTGACCTGCATCACTCACCACTTGACAAATATTACAGCATACACAAAAATTCATGGTGAAATTATCTGCACCAACAACACACAAATAAATGCTATCAAACCAAGAGAAAAGAAACAGCAACAAGAAAACACGCCAAAAAGATTCCCCAAGGCCCTGTAGTCACCTTGGCAATTATGAAAACCACAATGTAAGTGAAAATGCCAAAGCCGTGGGTAAACAGTTAAAATGAGCAACAGTCAGCTGCACACTACAAGCCACAGTGCCAGGAACAACTGCCTCTAATTATCAAAACAGCTGGGATGGAGTTCGAATTCTTCCATCAGTACTACGTCCTGGGTGGCTCATAATCCTGTCTTTTAGTTAATTTCAGAGCTAACAAGAGGCGAAGGAAAGGGCGAGGGTGATCAAGAAGGGGGAAGGGAGATTTTACCACAACCATTGGGAAGCTATAAACCTATAGGAGTTGTCAGTGCCTAGGGAAATGGAAGGCAATCAAGTTTCATCCAATGGGTGGTCAGGTCCAAATCTCTGGATCAAAAGCCCCTCCCCAGCATCAAAGAACCTCCTTTGAGAGAAAGCAGGAAAAGTGAGGGAAAAGCTTGGGAAGCAGAAAAAAAAAAAGAACAAAAGTGAAGGAGAGGGGGAGAGAAGGTGCAACTCTAAAAATACCATCACATGCTAACAGAAATTATAGGCATAACTATAATTAAGGTCATAAAAGGTTATGAAAATCTAAATGAAAATTTCATACTCAAAGTATCACAGCACACACTGCACTGCCAAATATAAGCTACCCATTTTTTTTATTTCCGATAACCACATAATTACAGGTCTACAGAAATAGAGGTTAACATATGTTAACTTTACCAAGAATAAAAATTATAATTTTCAAGTCATTTTGAACACGAGAGAGAAAATTGGCTGCCCTAATCGGAAAGCAGGTTGCAGAGCACAGAATGACGAAGGCTCAAGCCTACATTTACAAATTGTGATAAACTCTACCAAAATGTACAAGCCTAGTTGTATAGTTACCTCCTATCTAATAGATTTCAAGCATTTTCTTACTCCTGCAGCCTGGCCCTGGGCCAGGAACAAGAATAGTGGATTCTCTAATTCAGTCCATGAATATACAGTCATGAAAACTGGAGAAGGCAAGGCAAGAAAACAACGTACTGTATGGGCAAAAAAAGCAGCTCAGATTCCAATAAGTTCCTATGCATCAAGGTCACACCGATCCTCTCCCTCATTAGCAGTAGAACTATGACCAATACCAGTTTAGTGCATTTATGGTATAAAAATATCCCTATTAGCAAACTAAAAGTCAGGGGAGTTAACTGAACCAATAAGCAAAGACAGATGTTAAAAACCTAAACAAAGACAGATGTTAAAAACCTAAACAAAGACTTCATTTAAATAGGATACTACAGTATATAGTATAAAATTATGTCCTACTAATCCTCAAACACACAGCACCACTGAAACTTATACTCAATGCACTACAACTTAAAGCTGATACTCTACAATCTTATAGAGAAAAGAAAAAAATCCCAGTAAGTGTGTCACATTTCTGCCCATGTCCACAGTATTACAAAGAAAAGTAAAATAAATGCATACTGAGTCTACAAGCTAGTAAGATTTACCTATAACCTTAACCCTTTCAGTGGCCATCACACAGAACTAAGTCACTGGGGCCATGGTCCTTCTCATAGTTCTATGTCATGAGTCAGCTCACTCAGATAAACTGTGAGTAGTAAATTTTGGCCTAGCTATGAGAATGGGTCTCCATGGTTAGTGTGCATAGTATAAAAAAAATCCTGCCCCACAGTGAATGATGGGAAAGCAAAATTCTGACCATGTGTTTGGTTTAAAATAGCGACTGAACTGTTTTCTAGGATGGTTTTTATGGTTTTACTGGCTGTTTCTTGATATCGTTTGAAGACATACTACTGAAACAAGAGATGATTTCCATTAGTTTAAAAACTGGAAGCAGCTTCAAATTGTGCTCAAAGTAAAGAAAATACATTAATTTTTGCAGATTTTCCCCGATGATGAGTATAGCCTCGTACACTCCCCCCCTCTCGAGACCTGGAGATGTGATTAACAGAGAAACTGTTGTTTTAGTACTAATAATGTCTACACTTTATTTTGAACTATTTTTTTAATTTGTATTTTTAAATTCTGTGGAAAAATGCGCAAATTACTGACTTCTGTATACTCTGTAGGGTAGTTAAATGAGCAGCTTTTGTGCGTGATTGAATGGAGACATACTAGTGAAATAGCTAAGAATTTAGTCGAATGGAGCAATGGTATGGACTTAAAATAGGACTTCAAGTTGGTAAAAATCACCACTGCATAAATTGTGCCCAGACCACTTACTTTGCACTTGCTTAACTGGATAAATTTTCCATGAAATTTAAGACTTTCGGTATTATTACCTTCAGAAAAAGATTCCCTAGCATTTCCAATTTTGTTTAAATTGGACACTAGGAACATTATTAATTTCCGGGGTCTGAACAATGAAAGGGTTAATGAAAACGAAAAATGTGGTAATCCTGAGAGTGCAAAACAGTTAATAGACTTACTTCATGCTCATATAACAGGAAAATAATACCTACTTGGAAGGTTGCTGTCCATCAATATATTATGAATGTAACCAGAACGAGGGAATACAACAATGCTGAATTAACAAATTACATGTTGAGATAAAGAAATGCCTCATAGTAGTAGAGATCACAATGGTATAGAAGTATATGACTGGAGAGCAACACAGTAAAAGCAATGAAGGTTCTCCAAAATAAAAAGGATGTAGCTAATTCCAGATAAATTCAATTAAGGTAATCCACAAATGATTTTAGCTAGCATATAACAATGGTTCCCAAGAGAACATTGTTATATGCTTACAACACTGGCAATATCTGCAGATTTAACATAGAATAACCCAACTAAATTAGTCTGAATTACTTCCAACATTTAGTTAGGAGATGGGTGTTTAAGCTGAAGCCTAGAACTAGCAAAACTCATCTAGGTGTTTAAACATCCATATACCACTTTATGTACTCCTTGCAGCTTGCCAAGCTTATGACAAAACCATACATACCACAGACATTCATCAAGCTTACACCTTACCTTTTCTCTAAGTACCCTGAGAATTTCAAAGAATGTGATTTTGTGGTTATTCCACTTGAGGCTTAGAAGTCCATCCTCCATTTTGGCATCTGAAAAAAAAAAATTGCAGCTATTGTATTATTTTGTACACCCCATACCATTGTTACAATGCATCATAAATGTGAATTAAACTTTTGATGAATAAAAATTAAAATGAGAATAAGACTAAGCTGAGGTGAAGTTATGATGGTTGAAAAATTACATTTTGATCAGAAGAGTTGAGTAGAAAGAAAGTGCCAAGAATTGATCCAGCTGTAAGGTAGTTTGGTATAAAATTCAATCACAGTTAGGGGGTACAAGAAGGGCAAGGAATACAGAGTTGCAAAGTGTCCATAAAAAATCTAATTACAGTATGATGCTTTTCAGGGTAACTACAGAAAACACAGTACAGCCTCTTCTTGCCTAGTGACGTACTCGTTTGCTGATGACTTGGACTTACGATGGGCTCTGACCAGCAGGCATACCTAAATACAGTATATTGGGGCTGATTTCCTGTATTCTGTTTATTACAATATACAGTAAAATGCTGTATAAACTAGGAATGTATTGGATGTGAAAATTTAGATATGGCGGATGCGGATGTGTATTCGGATGTCTTCCTTACTTATTTTGCGGACGCAAGCATCTGCTTAGTGCGATGCAGATGCGGATGTGACATCTTGACATCCGCCAGATTCGGATGCGGATGCAGATTTTGCAGGATAGTCATAGAACATTTTTTTTTTTTACCATATGACAAATACTTTTGCCGAGTGAGGGACTGAACACATCGATTCCAGGCTGAGGGACTGATTACCTGAAACTCCTCTCCTTATGCCTTCCTGCTTTGTACTGAACTGATGAAGCCACTGTGTGGCGATACGTTTCTTCAATAAAGATTCCCATATGTTGCATAAGTGTCTCAATTCTTCAAGCTGTCAGTTTCCAAACCATTTATCACATGCTTATTTGTATTTAACACCATTTCAACAATTTCACCATCACTCAAGGAATGCACAGCAGGTGGAGTTATGTAGAGATGACTGATGCTCCACACAAAAGAAATAAGGAACACTGCAGCAAGCCTACTGGCCCGTCCGAGGCAGGTCCAATTCTCCCACCTTGGGTAATTTCAAATTTAGGTTGGATAAATACAAGAGTGAGAGGGGTTGGATTTGAGTGGGACTTGCACATGAGTAAATAAAATTATCAAAGCTTATTATAATCGAGGCTAGAACCTTAGGAAGCTGTAAAGAAAGATTGGACAAATATACGAGTGGGAGGGAATGCGTTTGATTGGTGTCGTGGGTGCGGGAGTGAATTCTTGAGTAGCTTTGGGTAGTGGTGGTTTTGATAAGGACCTGCCTTGTATGGGCTAGTAGGATTTCTGCAGTGTTGCTCTATTCTTATGTTCTTCTTATTGCTTGGGTAGCATTTATTCTGTTAGTGGGTTGGATTTGTGAAGGACCTGCCTAGTATGTGCCAACAGACCTACTGCAGTGTTCCTTCTTTCTTATGCTTAGTCAGGTCAGGTCACATTCATTTAAGGACATAAGAAAGAAGGAACACTGCAACATGCCTGTTGGTCCATACTAGGAAGGTCCTTCACAATCCATTCCACTAACAGAATACAGTGGACCCCCGCATACCGATTTTAATCCGTGCAAGAGGGCTCATTGGTATGCGAATGAATTTTCCCCATAAGAAATAATGGAAATCAAATTAATCCGTGCAAGACACCCAAAAGTATGAAAAAAAAAATTTTACCACATGAAATATACATTTTCCTACCCACAAAGAGAAGGATACATGCACAATAGTAGAGTAGTACATGCACCGTATATATTATGCATGTACTACTCTACTAAATGAAGAATAAATGACACTTACCTTTATTGAAGATGCAGCAATGACTGATGAGACAGTGTCCTGGGAGTGCCTTTTCCTCCTGAGTACTGTAGGTCCTGTTTGGCATTTTCTTCCAGAACAGGCCTTATCACACTGTGTATGTCACTACAATTCTTAAATCTCTCAAACCAACCTTTGCTGGCTTTAAATTCACCAATATGAGCACTAGTTCCAGGCATTTTTCCCTGTTCACCTGGGTGTTCGTCGACTGGTGTGGGTTGCATCCTGGGAGACAAGATTAAGGACCCCAATGGAAATAAGTTACAGTCTTCGATGACACTGACTTTTTTGGGTTATCCTGGGTGGAAAATCCTCTGGGGTTAATTGTTTCTTGGTATATTCTCAATAAGCCACACCAACAACAGTGCTACAGCAGCAGCAGACGATGCTACAGCAGCAGCAGCAGCAGCTAACAGTGCTACAGCAGCAGCAGACGATGCTACAGCAGCAGCAGCAGCTGACAGTGCTACAGCAGCAGCAGATGATGCTACAGCAGCAGCAGACGATGCTACAGCAGCAGCAGACGATGCTACAGCAGCAGCAGACGATGCTACAGCAGCAGCAGACGATGCTACAGCAGCAGCAGCAGCTGACAGTGCATCAGCAGCAGCTGTACCACCAATAGTAGCGATGGTTGATTGGGGTTCATTATACAACCTGGCCAGCTCGAGACACGCACTCCACTTTCATACTGATCAATGATCTTTTTCTTCATCTCTATAGTAATTCTCACCCTTATTGCTGTAGGGTTGGCACTAGAAGCTTTCTTGGGGCCCATGGTCACTTATTTTCCAGATAAAATCACCAAAAACACTGTAATAATACGAAATGTTACGATTGTATGCTTGGATGCTACCGCGGAGGCTGGCTGGTAAACAATGCCACCGGCGGAACATGTGAGGCTGGCTAAGGCGCACATTGGACGCGTCTCGGACGAACAGTGGTGAGCGGGTTTTTGAGCGGTATGCGAGGCAAAATTTTTGCGATTAAAGTGAGCGGTATGCGGAATAAACGGTATGTGATGCCAACGGTATGCGGGGGTCCACTGTATTTGCCCAACCCAATTTTCAATGCTACATAAGCAATAAGCTTTGATAATTTTATTTACTCATGTGAAAGTCCCACTCGAATCCAACCCCTCTCACTCATGTGTTTATCCAACCTAATATGTTTATCAAACGTTACTTACATCCCCTACATTAATTCTTGTTTTCCATTCATACACCTCTACAGTGTGACTGACTTTGTGAGAGTCTCACACAGTGTCACAGCCTCACACACACGGTCACACAATCTCACACACACAGTGGAACTTACACATGGACAGTTTCAAATTTAGGCTGAATAAATACAAACTGCAATAATGGATTCAAATTAATATTGGTTTAGTAATAGGGTAGTTGATGAGTGGAATGGTCTATCTAGTAGGGTTATCAAAATTACCTAAATCTGAAACTACCTTGGATAGTTTCAAATTTAGGTTGGATAAATACACGAGGGAGAGGGGTTGGATTTGAGCGAGACGTGCACGCGAGTAAATGTAATTGTCCAGGCTTATTGCTTAGGTAGCGTTTATTCTATCAGTGGGCTGGATTTGTGAAAGACCTGCCTAGTATGGGGCAACAGGCCTACTGCTGGGAAATAAACATGCAAGCTCTGTAATTTAGGTTATAATATCCGCCACTTTCTCTGTTTGGCGCGGATGCAGATGCAAATGCCGATATATATTGAATAGTGATCGCGGATGCGGATATCTCATTTAGGAAAAATAAGGATGCAGATGCAAGAAACTGTTCGGATTACACGGATGTTATTTATATAATAGATTAACAATTGCTTTCCTGGGAAAATAGTAAATAACAACCAAGTATTATGTGTATTTAATAAAAAAATAAGCATTAGCTACCACTAACCTAACAAATTATGACTTGTTACAATGCATGGCTGCATGTTAACAAGTCACCAAACATGCCACATGGATAAATGGACACATAAACATAACCTCCTCATTTCTACAAGTACAGTAGGACTCCTGCATCCACAGGGGATAAGCTCCTAGGATACTGAAACCGTGGATGGTATCAAACCCTATATTAAGTCCTATACATATCTATCATGAAATTTAATTGATAAATTCTGCACATTGTGGGGAATTATCACTTTCACTGATGGAAAGCTTAACAGCTTCTCTTAGTCTTTCAAGAAATGCCACTTTCTTTAGTTTGGTGCTTTGCGGCCAATACAGCTTCTCACTTAACGACAGAATTCCGTTCCTAATACCACGTCGATAAACAAATTTGACGCTAAACGAGGAGCATGCTATAATGATAGTGGGATTATGTCAAGCATCTTTGATATTGTTTTACTATCACCTTTGCACCATTTATAACAATTTTAGCATATTTTTAAATATTTATACACTAGTGTACTGTATAACAACAGAATAGAGGAAATCAGCTGTAATATCCATTATTTAGGTATGCATACTGGTCAGAGCGCCCACCATAAGCCTGAGTTGTTGGTAAACGAGTACATACATCACTCAGCGACGGGAGGCTGTATTATACAAAATTAAGTTATTTTTGGGTCACAGTAAACTGCCGATAACTGAAACGGCAGATACCAAATCAGTGGATACAGGGGTTCTACTGCAGATGTACAAGGTATACAGGCCTAGCTGACATCAACATAATATATAAAAAGCCTCTTGTTAAACAGAGCATTTCAGACAAATCTGGTCAATGTTGTCCCAGGATGTGACACGCCAGTCGACTAACACCCAGGTATCCATTTTACTGATTGGCAAACATGGACAGCAGACATCCTAACGTTTTCCAGCTGTACCCGAACCTCAGTGTAAGAGCAGTGCGCGCTAGCAATTGAGCTACGGAACATTGCCACTAAACATCCCTAAAGCACCACTGCATGTAGCCAAGCACCAATAATAATAATAATATCTTTATTTACTACAAGTACATGTACATGGTATACAGGCCTAGCTGACAACAATGACATACTACTATATAGAAAGCCCCTTGTTATGCTCCGCATGTCGGGCAAATAGGTCAGTGTCCCAGGATGCGACCCACACTAGTCGACTAACACCCAGGTACCCATTTTACTGATGGGAACACAGACAACAGGTGGAAAGAAACACGCCCAATGTTTCTACTCTGGCTGGGAATCGAACCCAGGCCTTCGCCGTGTAAAGCGAGAGCGTTAGCCACCAGACATAATTAGATCAAAGTTATATAATATTGTACCAACAAGCTGAATAAAACACATGAACACCACCAGGGTATCTTCACATGGAAGTTCCTCCTACCAGGTGTTTCTGTGATCTCTTAAGTAAAATTAGATCAAATGTACATAATACATTAAAGTTGACTTATAAAGCCACTAGTGAAAGAAACATTTACCACAGATACTCCAGTGTTGCTCATGTATCATTCACTTCACCAGTGAACAAGACAAGCCCAAGGTTCCACAGGACAAGCCATGCCCAAACACCACAAACCAAGCTATGCCTAAGCCCTAGGCAGCACTTGACAAGCCAAGCCACAGGTGCCAGAGGACAAGCCATGCCACAGGTGCCAGAGGACAAGCCATGCCATAGGTGCCCCAGGACAAGCCATGCTATAATAGGTGCCCCAGGACAAGCCATGCTATAATAGGTGCCCCAGGACAAGCCATGCCATAGGTGCCCCAGGACAAGCCATGCCATAATCGGTGCCCCAGGACAAGCCATGCCATAATCGGTGCCCCAGGACAAGCCATGCCATAATAGGTGCCCCAGGACAAGCCATGCCATAATAGGTGCCCCAGGACAAGCCATGCCATAATTGGTGCCCCAGGACAAGCCATGCCATAATTGGTGCCCAGGACAAGCCATGCCATAATAGGTGCCCCAGGACAAGTCATGTCATAACAGGTGCCCCAGGACAAGCCATGTCATAACAGGTGCCCCAGGACAAGCCATGTCATAACAAGTGCCCCAGGACAAGCCATGTCATAAGTGCCCCAGGACAAGCCATGTCATAACAAGTGCCCCAGGACAAGCCATGTCATAACAGGTGCCCCAGGACAAGCCATGCCATAGGTGCCAGAGGGCAAGCTGTACCCAAGGTGCCAGAGGGCAAGCTGTACCCAAGGTGCCAGAGGGCAAGCTGTGCCCAAGGTGCCAGAGGGCAAGCTGTGCCCAAGGTGCCAGAGGGCAAGCTGTGCCCAAGCACCATAGAGCATACCAAGCCCGAGGCCCCACTGGACAAGCCAGGTTGGCCCAAGGCCCCACTGGACAAGCCTGAGACACCACTGTACAAGCCTGAACCACCACTGTACAAGCCTGAGATACAACTGTACAAGCCCGAGACACCACTAGACAAGCCACTGTCAAGCCCGAGACACCACTAGACAAGCCACTGTCAGGCCCGAGACAACCACTAACAAGCCACTGTCAAGCCCGAGACACCACTAGACAAGCCACTGTCAAGCCCGAGACACCACTAGACAAGCCACTGTCAAGCCCGAGACACCACTAGACAAGCCACTGTCAAGCCCGAGACACCACTAGACAAGCCACTGTCAAGCCCGAGACACCACTAGACAAGCCACTGTCAAGCCCGAGACACCACTAGACAAGCCACTGTCAAGCCCGAGACACCACTAGACAAGCCACTGTCAAGCCCGAGACACCACTAGACAAGCCACTGTCAAGCCCGAGACACCACTAGACAAGCCACTGTCAAGCCCGAGACCACTAGACAAGCCACTGTCAAGCCCGAGACCACTAGACAAGCCACTGTCAAGCCCGAGACACCACTAGACAAGCCACTGTCAAGCCCGAGACACCACTAGACAAGCCACTGTCAAGCCCGAGACACCACTAGACAAACGTGAGACACCACTGGATAAGCCTGAGGCAACTTTAAACGAGTACCTCAAGAGATTCATCCAGGTTTTGAAAAATGATAAATCCAAGCACTGTAAAGCACTGCCTGCCTCTCACACACACACTAGCATGCACTGAGGAATGCTGCTGCTGCTGCTGCTACTGCTGCAGCTTTCCAGGGGTCAGTGACCTACATGTGTGTCAGTCAGTCAGTACAACAGCAAGTGGCACAACAGACCCGCCCCACAACGGCACCAACCTTACGTCAATTACATCAATAAATGGGAAATAGACGGTGCTATAGTAGACAGGACCTATGTAGACTTGTACATGGCGTTTACACAGTGGTAGAGAGGGGAGAGGAGAGCGGGTAGGTGGTGTAGGGGAAAGTGGGCCAGTGGCAGGTAGTGGGCCAAGATGCAGCCATTTCCGCGTACAAGGGAGGCGCTCCAAAACTTATCACTTTTCCAACCCCTGCCAACACACACAGGCATGTAATACTTCTCTGCACTTAACACCGGGTTAAGTGTGCCACCTCCAGCGTGTAGTGTGACACACAACTCATAACGACCTGCCAGCAAAGCACCAAAACATGAACAAAAAATCTGGACAATAACGAAGTTAGTGGAGGAAGGACGCCATGATGCAGGTCGCTGCTGCTTCCCCACCGCCCCCCCACACTAACCTCCACACACCCACCACCAACACACCTCAATAACCACATTAACAACACCCACACATATTCAACATGAAATAACTGCATAGGTGAGGAGTGGGATGTAACTGAGAGGGACTTACTTGTATCAGCAAGCGGCCATCAGGCGGCCTGGGAGCACATCACTGGGTAGTGTAGTGACGCCAGGACAGAGGGCGTCCTGCAGCGCACCTGCGCCGCCACACACCTCACAACCGCCAACTTTAAACACTCAAATACTAACTCGTTATTATTACCGTTGATTACTCTTGTTTTAGTACTTCACAGCAAAAATCATAATAAATGAGGGTTATTCTAGGTTGAGTATTATTAATTAGTCATAATTTTGTGGATATAATTGTCACGTAACGCAAACGTAAATCAAGAACTCTGAAGTAAATCAGTAATTGGTACTTTTGGGTTATTCTGGGTTTATTTGCGCATAAGTTATTTTATAATACTAAGTATTTCACGTGTAAATCACTTACGAGATATGATACTTCAACAAGTATAACTACGTATTCCTGCTATACGCCTTTAAATGCTGCCTGTGTGACTACTTCTCAACTCACGTATAACGAAATATTATATTGCTCTCCAACACTGCTCTCAGTCTATCATCTGCTACTTGTTACTCTATATATGTGTGTGTGTGTGTGTGTGTACTCACCTAGTTGAGGTTGCAGGGGTCGAGTCCAAGCTCCTGGCCCCGCAATAATGTGTGTGTGTGTGTGTGTGTGTGTGTGTGTACTCACCTAGTTGAGGTTGCAGGGGTCGAGTCCAAGCTCCTGGCCCCGCAATAATGTGTGTGTGTGTGTGTGTGTGTACTCACCTAGTTGAGGTTGCAGGGGTACTCACCTATTTGTACTCACCTATTTGTGGTTGCAGGGGTCGAGTCACAGCTCCTGGCCCCGCCTCTTCGCTGATTGCTACTAGGTCCTCTCTCTCCCTGCCCCATGAGCTCTATCATACCTCGCCTTAAAACTATGTATGGTTCCTGCCTCCACCACATCACTTTCTAGGCTATTCCATGGCCTGACTACTCTATGACTGAAGAAATACTTCCTAACATCCCTTTGATTCATCTGAGTCTTCAACTTCCAATTGTGACCTCTTGTGTCTGTGTCCCTCTCTGGACATCCCGTCTTTGTCCACCTCGTCTATTCCGCGCAGTGTGTGTGGTGTGTGTGTGTGTGTGTGTGTGTGTGTGTGTGTGTGTGTGTGTGTGTGTGTGTGTGTGTGTGTGTGTGTGTGTGTGTGTATTTTGAACCAGAGCTCAAAATATATAAATAAAATGTTAAATTATATACATATTTATTCATTTTATTTTGTTCCTTGCCAAAATCCTTCAATTTAGTGCTTCAGTTATTCTAAACTATTATTAAACCTGGTTAGTTCTCACAGTAAAACTAACACACCAAAAAACACATAGTTGCAATATGAACAACGCTCTTATTCGCTAAAATAGTCGACCCACAAACCGGAAAACGTACAACTCGGTAACTTTTCTGTCCCTTGCCTTCCCTACATTTCCGGTCTTTCTAATCTCAACAACTCTCTCCGTTCCTTAGACATCAAACTTACTTTCCGCCAGACTAACACTTCACACTAATCTCCTTCATAGCTCTCCTCCCTCTACAGATTCATGGTGTCTACTCTATTTCTTGTTCCTCTTGTCCTCTTCAATACTTTGGAGAAACTGGCCGATCTCTTTCTGACAGACTTAGGGAGCACAAAAGTAGTGTTAGGCTTGCCGACACTAACAATGCTCTTTTCTGTCACGTCAGAGATCACAGGCATCCTATTGACTGGTCTTCTGCTAAAACTGTCTTCCCTACTTCCAACTTTAACAGTCGCCGTCTGGTTGAATCCTCCCTAATACACAACTTTTCTTGTATGAATCTTAGTCCTGGCTTCGTCTCTGTAGATGCCTTCCTTTCCCACTACATTGTAAAATGCTCCAAACTTCAAAACACCAGTGACTCAACCTGATCCCTCCTTTTTCTTCTTCTCCCTCTTCTTTCCCTTTCCTCTTTCCCTTTTCTCCTTTGGGTTGTCTTTCTTCTGCCTTGTATATTTGTTCCTTCATTATTTATTTATTTATTTCCCCCCCTTTGTGTTCTTGCTCTTACCCTCCGTGGGCACCTAGGTCCCTTGCAGTGCTCCTCTTTCTTAGTTTTTGACTGGCTCCTCCTCCTTCTTAATACCTTCCCCACTACTACTACAACTGTTATCACCTCCTGCCTATATATACCCTTCCTCTCCTTTTCGTTAGTATGACTTTGTAAATGGTCTAAGCTGAACCGAAACGTCGTCGTAAGCTCCTCTCTTCTATGTGCGGATTATTTGTGTATCGTTCCAGTCACGGTATTGTGCCTTTTTTTGTGTGTTAATTAGACTTATCTTATTCCGGCTAATTTGGATCAGTGTTCTAGCACTGTAGTGATGACAACTTTGTTCATGATTCACTATCCTCGATGGTGGAACTATACTCCATGATAAATACGCGTCATTATACCCAAGCTAAAACTGGATTATTGATTTGTGTGTGTGTGTGTGTGTGTGTGTGTGTGTGTGTGTGTGTGTGTGGGTTGTGTGTGGTGTGTGTGTGTGTGTGTGTATACTCACCTATTTGTGGTTGCAGGGGTTGATTCACAGTTCCTGGCCCCGCCTCTTAGCTGGTGCTCCATAAGCTTTATTGTATCTCTTCTTAAAGCTATGTATGGATCCCGCCTCCACTGTATCACTCTCCAGATTGTTTCAATTCCTGACAATTATGTGACTGAAGAAATACCTCCTTGCTCTCTAGTGACTCATCTGAGTTCTCAACTTCCACTTGTGACTCCTTAAGAGGGGCGTGCACAATGTGTTACCATTTTTTTTATTTTTCGCCCTGTGTTCGCTGTGTTCTATCTTTGAAACATTCTGTCCCTATCCACCTTGTCAATTCCTCTCAGTATTTTATATGTCATTATCATGTCACCCCCCTATCCCTCCTGTCCTCCAGTGTCGTCAGGTTGATTTCCCTTAACCTCTCTTCATAGGACATACTCCTTAGCTCTGGGACTAATCTTGCTGCAAACCTTTACACTTTCTCTAATTTCCTGACGTGCTTGACTAGGTGTGGGTTCCATACTGGTGCTGCATACGCCAATATGGGTCTGACGTATACGGTGTACAGTGTCTTGAATTTGTGTGTGTGTGTGTGTGTGTGTGTGTGTGTGTGTGTGTGTGTGTGTACTCACCTATTTGTGGTTACAGGAGTCGATTGTAACTGTATGTATGTGTATGTAAAGAGTATGTATGCATGTATGAGCATTTGAACGTGTGTTCATGCAATCTCCTTGTTCAGGTGTGTATGACGCACTGTTGACATTGCCAGTATTACAGTCCTTCCGAGGGTTCAATGTCAGCAGACATTACCAAGGTTCACTGTGCTGGTGTACCTCCCTCTGGTTCTGCACTTTCTCGTAATGGCATTCAGTGGAGGTTTACGTGGGGGTTCCGTCTCTCTCTTTAGTTACCCACCTCTCTAACCTCCCCTACCCCCCCACATCCGCTCTCTCTGACCGCCACAACCCCTACCTAGCTCTCTCTTTCTCTCTCGCTCGCTCTCTCCCACACTCTCTCTTCCTCCCCTTGTTCGCTGGCTCTCTCCCTCAGCTTTCTCTTCCTTTCCTTGTTCTCTCTTTCCCCTTTGTTTTCTCTTCCGCTCCTCTCCCTCACTATTCCTCCTCCTCTCTCTTCCTCTCCCTCGCCCTCTCTTCCTCCCCCTTGCTGTCTCTCTCCCCTACTCTCTCGTCCTACCCTTTTGCTCTCTTTCTCTCCCTCCCTCCCTCCCTCCCTCCATCCCCTTGCTTTCTATTCCCCCTTCTTCTGTCTTCCTTTGCTCTCTCGTCCTCTCCGTTACTCTTTATTACTCTCCTTTGCTCTCTTTCTTCTCTCCTCCTTGCTCCCTCTTCCTTCACTTTTCTGTTCCTCCTCTTGTTCTTTCTCCTTCTCTCTTCCTCTAATGGTCTCTTTCTCATTCTCTCTTCCTTCCCTTGCTCTCTCTTCCTCCCCTCAATTTCTCTTACTCTCGTTGCTCTCTCTCTCTCCCCTGCGCACTATTTTTGCCCATTGCTCACTTTTCCTCCCAATCTTTCTCTCCCCAGTTCCTCCCAACAGTTACCTCCCCAAATTCCTATCCCCAGCTTCCTTAGTAAGTTTATTCAGGTACACATGATACAGTTACATAAATTATCATACATAGCAGTAGATGTGTGGATTACCTAGGATAACCTGCCCCCCAAAAGTCAGTCAAAGTGACTTGTTTCCACTGGAGTCCTTGTAATATCTTATTATTTAAACCTTAAAAGTTAAAACAGCTAAGTAACTTAACTGTGTGAAAATCAGTTACACTAAATGGAGATACACTGGGAATAAAGTAAACTGAATTATTTATATTAACATTAAAGAGAGGATCAGATAACAGTAATAGGTACAAAAGTCAGGATATTTTAGAGTCGTAGGTAAAAGGATTTTAGAGTCGAAAGGTTTTATGGTTTTTAAAAGTCGTAGGAAATTTTGGATTTTAAGTCGTGGGTTTAAAATGGATTTTTGGGGAGTCGAAAGGTATAGGATTTTTAGAGTCGTAGGGTTTTTAATGGGATTTTTTTTGGGAAATTTTTTTCGTGGGTATATGGATTTTGGGAGTGGGTTAAGGTTTTTAAATCTGGATTTTTAATCGTGGGTACATGAATTTACATTTCGTAGGTACAGGGATTAAGTCTAGGTAAAGGGATTTTTACAGTCAAAACAGTTCCCCCTTCCCATTTCTGTCCTCACAGTTCTCCCCTCCCTTCCTGTCCCACAGTTCTCTCCCCCAGTTCTGTCCCACGTTTTCCCCCTTTCCAGTTTCTTTTCCCATTTTGCCCTGTTCGTTTCCTCCCAGTTCCGGCCTCCCCCCAAGTTCTCTCCTCCCTTTT